ACTCAGGAGCTCCTTGGCTGCTGTTTTTCTTGGCAGAAGCGCAGGGTGCAAAACCAGTCCATCCATACACACAAGTTTGCCTGTCCAGATGCCTTTGCGTGTGAGATGTCGGAGGCATTCGTGCAGCTGGCCGGGCCCACTGCTGCTCGTCTCGAAGCTTGCTTCATTTCCAAGGCCAAGATACAGATGGAGGGGGCTTTGCTATAGCTAGTCCTGTCCTGCTGCATGCACCGCCACGCCCCCCCCTAATCTTCCAGGAGACCCCCAACCTGCCTTCTGCCCACCCATTGTCTTTCAGCTTGCACATGGGTTGACCTCTGTGAGGTTTGGCCAGATCTGTGTAAGCGTGGGGTGTGGGGCCTTTATTTTATTTTTTTAAAACTTTTTTAGACTGTCCCCTACTGTGGTCTCGGGATGGTTTAACAATAAGACAAAATAGAATAAAACGCAGCATCCTAGTCAGATTCTTAACCAGTCGGCAATAAAACCCGTATTAAAACAGTCAAACCTTAAAACATTGGGAAAATTGAAAGATTTTAGCCTGGCAACGAAAAAGATAAAGTTACGGTGCCAGGCGAACCTCTCTGGGGAGTGTATTCCACAATTGGGGGGCCAGCACAGAGAAGGCCCTTCTCCGGGTAGCCACCCTCCTGCTCTTCTTCAAGGTGGGCTCCCAGAGAAGGGCCTCTGCACCAGATCTTAAGGGGCAGACAGGCACACACGGAAGGAGACGCTCCTTCAGGGAACCAGCCCCTTTTCTGCCTTTGCATTTCATGTTGTTTCAAACCTCTTTGGAGGAGCGAGGGGACATTGGATATTGTGCGCGTGTGTTCGGGTAAGTAGTTATTTAGCGAAACGTGCCCATCCCGTCTGAATGGACATTCCCCTGCCTGGAATGGCTGGGCAAGTGCCAGGCAATTTTAGGCGGCTGGTCTGGCCCATCCCGGTTTTCCCCATGTCAGACAAGGGCGAAGTGTGACGTGGCGAGAGGGGTGCAGCCCTAGCCCTGAGGTCTCGTTCTCCCCGCAAGATCAGTCATTGTCTACAGTGGGGGAAACGGACATGCCGAAGACCTGGGAGGCTCTGAATGCAACACTCTTTCTGGTATATCACAGAAACCAATAGCACGTGCGATAGGGTGGTGGAAGGCAGTTCCCCATGTTCTGGACTTCCTCTGCCACAGTCCTAAATTTAGTCCGTGCTGACACGGCCTTCTTGGAACTGAAGTCTGAGATCTGCGTCATGTTCATTGCAGGTGTGCCAAAGGGTATGCATTAATTGGAGCTGGTTACACTTAGATTTACATTTGAAGTTCACGTTTAACTGTGTTGCTCTCGGCCTCCTTTTGCTGAGAATCGTTCATTTGCCATGTCGACACAGCGATGTATTTTAACCCCGTTGTGATTTTCGCTGAAGAATGCGTCTGTTGTCCTTCCAAAGCAACAATCCAATAAAAGGAAGAAGAAAATGCCGGCATGGCGTGACAGTGGCCACTAAATGCTGGGACACCTGGGGATTTGATGGTGTTCGGCACTATGCTCCGTCGATTCTTTTCTCACACGTTTGCAAAAAATGTTAATTGGAACTGTGGCTAAAGCGGATTTTTGTTATTCCTTCGTGACAATTATATCCTAGCGGTCGGGCATGAGTCCCAAACTGTTGCAGATTATCTTCCTCTGCCTTTATCCTCACCACAACCCTGTGAGGTTGGTTAGGTGGGGAATTAGTGACTAGTCCAAAGTCGCCCAGTGATCCTCGTGGCTGAAGGGGAACTTGGTCTCCCAAGGCCCAGTCCAGGACTCTTAACTAGTGTATCACGCTGGCTTAAAAACATACATTAAAAATAGAACCAGACAATATTTTTTGATTCTTATTTGCAGTCTCTGACCATGTGTGTGTGCACGAGAGAGAGAGTCAGTCAGTCAGTCAAGGGCAGGGCTTTGTGGTATAGCCCCTGCTTTGCATAGTAAAGGGTCAAGCTTCAGTCCCTGACATTGTCAGGCGCCAATTAATGCGTATTATACTCAGCTCCTGATTTAATGGCCCAGCATTCACTCACTGTTTATGGGCTGCCCTGCAGCAGAGTTTCCAAGTGGTTCACAAGGGAAAAATTAGGCAGTATAAATCTCTAGAGCAATTAGCAGCAGCAACTGCTAATAAGACAACCTAATGCCAACTGCAGGAAGTCAGGACAGCTTAAAGCTGAAAAAGATGGAAGAGCTTTTCAGGAGAAGACCTGAGCTCGGCAGCAAAGCTACACCAGAGGCGTTGCCCGGCAAAGACATTCTGGCGACTGGTGTCTGGACCGGATTGTACCCAAAGAGGCGCTGCGGAGAAGCAAGAAGGAGGCGGTTTGGATTTGGGGTAGAGACCGCATATATACAGAAGTAGAAAAAGCTCAAAAGGTGGCAAAACCCCCTCTGTCAAGCAGCCCCCAGAAGTCTGTCGGATGCATAGTAGCTGGGCGGCTAGGGGAAGCTGAGGAGCAGCGTGGGCTGCCCTGCTTCAGGCTCTGAACAACTTGCCCTGTATCCCAAGATGGCGAAGTTGGCAGAAATATAGAAAACAGAGCGAGTCAGAAGGGAGCTCCCAGGCCATCTAGTCTGACCTCCGGCACCAGCCGGCTCCGCTCACGACATGCCCACCATGTGGACATCCAGCCTGTGCTTGAACACCCGCACCGATGCGGCCTCAATGACCTCTCGTGGAAGCCCATTCCACACCCTCAGGGTCCCGACTGTCAGGAAGTGCTTCCTGGCATCCAAACGGAACCTTGGCTCCCTGAGCTTTGCTCCATTGGAACGCGTCCTGCCTTCCTCTGCAGGGGAGAACAGGTCTCTGCCCACCTCTGTGTGACACCCCCTCACACACCTGCATGTTGCCAACAGACCCCCTCTGAGTCTCCTCCAGGCTGAAGAGACCCAGTTCCCTCAGTCTCGCCTCAAACGGCTTCCCCTGCAAACCGGCCACCAACCTTGTGGCTCTACGCTGCACTGACTCCAACCTGGCTATATCCTTCCTGTAATGAGGGGCCCAAAAGTGAACACAATACTCCAATTGCGGGCTCACCAGAGTCGTGTAGAGTGGCAGTAATACCACTCTCGATCTAGAAGCCACGCTTCTGGCTATGCAACCAAGGGTGGCGTTCGCCCTCTTGGCCACCGCATCACACGGCTGACTCATGTTCAGCCTGCAGTCAACCAGCACCCCGAGGTCCCTTTCACAAGCGCTGCTCTCCAGCCACTTGTCCCCTAACCTGTACTTTTGACACCTTTTCCTATGCCCCAAGTGCAAGACCTTGCACTTATCCACATTGAACGCCATCCTGTTGTCTCCTGCCCACTTCCATAGTCTGTCCAGATCCTTCTGGATGTGGAGTACCTGCTCCTCAGTTGTGGCCACTGCCCCAGTTTTAGTGTCGCCTGCGAATTTGATCAGCAGATTGTTCACCTCTGCTTCCATGTCATTGATGAAAAGACTGAACAGGATCAGCCCCAGGACAGAGCCCTGGGGGACCCCGCTTGTCACTGGCTGCCATCTGGATGATTCCCCAAGAAGCCCCCAAGAAAGCATCCCAGGGAATACTAGGGACTAGGAGCTAGGATCCGCTGCAGGTTTTTGCTGTACACTCTGCCCGTGTCTCATATATCCCATTTCTCCTTCAGACCATGGTTAGTATTTCTGAGCAAACACCGTCCTGCTCCAACATACAGAAGGGGATCCTCTTTTCCCCTCCTTCCTTTAGATTTTTCAAAATAGCCCCACTTGCCTGTCCCAATCTCATTCTGCTTTTCCAAATCTCCAGTTTGACACATGATCTTTTTCCCAGTATTTAGCTGTCGTGGCCCTGCCTGTGGTTGAGAAACTGGAGTCTCACTGTTTGTGTCCTGGATGTCACATCCAGCTACAGACTTGAGGCGGGCTAAAATGTCCTTCCCATACTTTTGATCAGCCTCCTGTTCCTGCCGGATGTGGGGAAAAGGGCCGGTTCTGAATTGTTTATCTTTCCAGCACTTGCTAGTAAAATCGCCGTACCTTCTTTGCCCTTGGACTTCTATGCTGTATCACTTTTACAGTGTCATCTTAGTGTTTTTGCTGGAGCCTGGACATAACACATAATGATACACTTGACTCTGTGTGTGTGTCTGTGTGTGTGTGTGTGAGTGAGAATCTATTCCACGCAGCTGTTTGGTTATTTAAACATTCAGCCTATTTCATTTAGAACTAGAATCTCTTCTCTCAGTCTCTGTGAAGATTTTGCCTACATAAATTGACGCCGTAACCCCTCTGAAAACTATTTCAAGATCTTTGCTGACTTCTGCAGTCCTCACAGGCAGGAATAAGGACAGGCACCAACTCAGCATGTTGTAAAGCTAAGCATGTAAATCATGAAAATATGAGGCCGATCCTTGGTGGTGGCCTTAGTTGTTTATAGGGAAGGAATGATCTCAAAGCCCATCACTCTGCCCCATCTCCATGTTCAGCTTCAAGTGCTTCCATGCCCCCTGGGGTGGTGGGGGCAGGCCAATAAAAGAGGATTGAGCTGAGGAAATACAGGCTCTGGGCCTGGCAGTTTTCCCCACTTTATCCCAGTGTGGGGTAGTGATTATAGGGCTGGGCTGGGGCTCAGGAGATCCAGGTTCCAGTCCTTGTTCAGTGGTGAAACTTCCTGGGCGACTTTGGACCAGTTCCTTATGCTCAGTCTAACCTACCTCGCAGGGTGGTTGTGAGGATAACCCAGACAGCAAGTCACAAGTCTCAGTTCTCCTCCCACGATCACCTTTTTGGGATAACTGGAATGCGGTGGTCATTCCGTGGCAAGCTGGGTGGAAGCGCGTTCTGGGCTGGATGAACCGAGCAGGGTGAGGTGTCTGAGCCCGTGTGGGGTCTGAACAGATGCAAGCTGGTTTATGGAGCCAGCAGAGGAACACCGGAAGAGTGCTTCTTGCCGGAGCCTCCGTGGTGGCCGGGCGTCACCGCAGTCCCTTTGTACCTTGCAGGAAGCCTTTGGCGCCCTTGCCCTGTTCTTCCACGACCAGCACGGCGGAGAGGTCATCGGGGTCCTCTGGAAGCCCTCCGCCTTCCAGCCGCAGCCATTCAAGGTGAGTCCCCGTGCCAGGATCCGGCCGTGGGCCCTGCGTGGCCACTGCTGCGGGAAGGGCCCAGTGGCTCAGCGGGAGCTGAGGGCCCCTGCAGGGACGCCGGTTCCTGCCCAGAATGCGCCGAGGGACACCAGGGGCCGGGGAAACTTGTTGGGGAGTCAGGAGGGGCGCTTGGGGCACCGGAGAGGAGCAGACGGCACGAAGCCAGGATGGGTCTTGCTCTGTGGATTCTGGGACTTGAAGCAGGAGCCTCCGGGTTAGTCCTGCAGACGTTGTGGACCAGTTCCCCTAACATCTGGCAACGCTGCCCGGGCTGAGGGGCGTGGTGCTGGGAAGGCCGCGCAAAGTCTAGGGCCGGGAGCGGGGTTGCGCAAGGGCTGTGTGGAAGCAGCCCCCCCCCCCCACGCCCAGCCTGGGCTTGGAAAGCGGGCCAAGCTGGCAGGCCGTCCGTCTGTGGACACTTCGGGGTGCAGGCTGCAGGAGAGGACGTGGCTTGCGCAGTGTTTCTGCAGGGCTCGATTCCTGGCAGGCACCGTGCGGACACCGGGCAGGCTCACCAGGCACTCGGGCTCTGTGCCGTGCCAGAGTGGCCTGGGGCTGAGTCGCTGAGCCCTGGAAGGCAGCAGTAGATAGAGGGGGTTGCTTGCTGGGGGGGGGGGGGGTCCGGGCCGGCTCATTCACAGCGGCCGCGAGTTCTGTGACCGGCTGGCTGCGCGATGCCTCGGGACGGGGCTTGCTGGGAGCGTCCGGAGCCCGGGCTCGGCTTTTGCCGGTTCAGCGGTGTGGGCCTCCAGCCTTCTGCCTCCCCGCCTCAAGCTGGCCTGGGAGGGACACGGGAGCGGAAGGGGCAGGTTGCCGGGGGTGGGGGGAGAACAGGGAAGGGGTGCTGCCCGGAGGGCTTCGTGAGCACCCAGAGGCATGGGTTGGAGTGGAGGCCGGAGGGCTCGGTAGAGGAGAGGGAGGCTGGCGGAGAGAAGGCAAGCGTCGAGGGAATCGGGTGAGGTGTGTCGGGGAGGCGGGCTGGTGCTAAAGCAGGATTAGCAGTGATCCGGAGCAAGGGCTTGGGAAGACTGGAGACGAAGGAGACGATTGCTTTTTGCTGGAGGCAGGGTGGGGAGGGCGGAGAGCTCCCGCTTCTGGCTTCTGGCCAGCAGCTCGCAGAAAAGATAAAGCTGGCTTTGTTAGTAAGAAGGTGCAGGGAATTGCATGGCTTCGTAACACCCCACTGGTTCTCAGACACAGCCTCTGGCTCGACATCTGATCAAGGGAATAGGCAGAAATCCACCTATCCCCCACGTTTTATTTCACTAGGCAAGTTCCTAGTCCTCATGCTAGCAGCTGGGAGTACACCGCTGTGTTCTTGGGCGTACATCCTGTTCACCAGCTTAGGTGTTGCTGGCAAAAGGGCAACGTGTAAACAATTAAATGAATTACAAGCGCGGATCCCATGTAGTCAGATCTACTAAAACTCTGCAAACAAGCCTCAGTTTCAGCGACCAGCCAAGCCTAGTGAGTGAGGCTGAAGGCTGGCAAAAACAGGTGTGTGATGGGCAGCAAACAGGCATCCGAAATGCATTTTTCCAGACTTTTCTACCCCTTCCTTCAGTTTTTCAGCAGCTTCTAGAGTGGCTATCAATTTAGAACAGCCGTAACCTTGTTAGAAGAAACCGACAAACCACATTGACCGTGGGACTGGAAATTAAGGGAGTTGCGGACCAGGACAGCTAGATGGCGTCAGGTACAGGGAAGGCTGCACAGCGGTAAACCATGGTTTGCTTGCCTCAGTTTGGTACTCTAAACTGTGGCTGGCGCTAACCATCGTTCGTGTGCTGTCTGAAGGGTGCCGTAGCCATAATCCTTTTGCTTCCATCCCCAGGTATCAAACATGAAGGGAAGCATGCTGCTGGCCCTCAGCACCGAGCCCCAGACAATTCCCAATGTGGCGGCCATTTTGGAAGACTTTGAGATTTTGGGAGGAGGACTGGTCAAATCGGTGGAGGCTTCTACCGAGAAATGGTCCATTTAGAAGCTCGTGGGACCCTGCATCGTGTCTCCTGTGCTCCTCTGGAGGAATTCTCACACAGAACTTTTCTATTTCGAAATCTCTTGGCGGAAAGGAATTTTTATTATGCTGATAACTTTGCTCCATGCCATTTCCTCCTACAAAGGCCTCCAGTTTAGGTAGCCCTGACATCTCTCGTAAAGGACACGTTAATTGCAGAAGCGCTATTAAATCCTTTTGCCTCCAAGTGGCTCGTTATTCATCAAGTGGAATTCTAGTTAAAGCTAAAATAGGCTTTTCTCCAGAGCTTCTTGTGCTCTGGATTGGCTGGGGGAATAGTCACTGCCGGCACGTCTGCCTTCCCTGGCACTGAACAGTTCCAGAAAAACAGGGTTAAAAGAGAGAGGCAGTAGGAGGAAATAGGTATTTTCTAAGACCAGCACGAACTTGGTAGAGAAAGGAGCAGGAGGAGAGAAATGGTGTTTAAGAAGTAGAAAAGTAGACTTGGCATGAACGGGATTTAAGGTTTCCAAAATGGCTGCTGCCTGAGGCACTGAAGCTGAAGATGCCGCGTGTGCAAAAGGCCCTCGGTGCGTGTAGCGGGTCTGACAGCCACTGCGTCTGCCTCTCGACCTCCTGTGTCGGGCCCAGGTGGGGCCGCTGCAGGCATGAGTGGGGTTGGGGGGGTGCGGGGAAACAGCCCTCCCCACTGGAAAAGGTGGTGGGTTGCAAGGTGAAACAACTGCAAGGCAAGGGCTGTGGAGGGCCGCCAAACTGGCTTCTGTGCATGGAGAAGAAACAGAGTGAGTGAGAAGGGACCTCCCGGGTCATCTAGTCTGACCCCCAGCTCCACGCATGACGTGCCTACCAATGCCTTGTTAAGAGGCTGGCTGCGGGCCGGTCGGAAGAAACGCTCTTACTCTCCTGCAGGGCTGCAAACTGGGCAGCCCCTTGCCTTCGTCACAAGATGTCTGCTCTGCCAGCATCTCGAGAGGAGGATGTGTGTGGCCCCGTGGCTGGTGCCTTAGTGCAGTCCTTGTGCTAAAATTTAGCAGTTCTGCACCAAGGAAAGCCAGACTGCACAACCTGCAAATGCCGGTCGTCGCCATCGTCGCTGCAAAGGTGGTCTCGGCCTCCTGCCAAACCAACAGTGTCACAAAAAGCAGCAGAACGTGGAAGGCGCTTCTGTGGTTCCCTTCTCTGCCCATCCCTCGCGCTTGTCCTTACAGGTTGTGTTGCACTCCGGTTGTGTTGTGTTATTGCAGCATTTCCCAACGGGTGCCCATTCCAATGTGTTGGGCTGCCACACCTGTCATTCCCAGCCGGCAGGCCTGGATGGCTGCGAATGATGGGAATTGCAGTCAGCCCATTGGTGACCCCCCCCCCCCATGGAGATGCAGAATGACTGTAATAACGCCTGGCTGGCTTGCGTGCCCGTGTCACGTGACATTGTCTGGCGCAAGGGCCGTACCACCTGTCCTGAGCGATTTCTGTGCTTTTATTTATGGATTGCTGGCCTTGTGTGGCGGCCACGGGCCATCCTTTCTGGTACACGAAACTGGCCGGGGAGGCTGGCTTAAATATACACTAAGGGCAAACAAAAGCGGTCAAACATGCCCAAATGCGACATTTTATTCGCCCATATAAACTTCCTCTTAAACAGTGGAATCAGGAAGTGCCTTCCGTGTAGGAGGCAGCACTGGCTTGTGTCATCTTGGCCCTTTGCTGTTGCAAAAGACAAGCGGCCTCAGAAACGGAGCTAGGGCAATAAAGAGAAGAGAACCGATAGCCACGGGCAGCGTTGGCTAGTGAGTTGCCAGGGCCAAAAGAGACCTGGGAAGAACGAACTAAACGGTCAAGGTCCATGTTGAGCCGCCATCCTGGCCAATGACCTAGTCCAAATCTCGCCTCTGCCATGATTTCATGACCGCCCTCAGCCCTACAATTCGACTGAACACTAACCCACTTTATAGGGCTCTTGTAAAGTTTCAATCCACGTCAGCGGTTCAGCAAAATGGGATGATACCAGACAGCTCTTCAGAGTGGAATCCCGTGGGTGGACAGGTAGCCAGATGGCCAGGTAGCCAGGTTGCCCAGGTTGGGTAGACGGTACCTGGATTTAGGTCGCAGCTTGGCTCCGAAGCTCACAAGGTGCCTGTGAAGAAGATGCAGCTGCTGAAATTTCTTCCAAAGGAGCTGCGGGAGCAAATAAAAAGAGGACTGGAATGTTCTGTGTAATTTTTCTGTGTCAACGTAATGAAATTCTGTACTGGGAAAGGTTGAATCTTGCCAGTTATTGGAATCCTGTGATGCTGCTTATGGCCACTTGATTTTCGTGATCTCTTTTCTGCTGCTCATCACGAGGAGGAGCAAGACACGGAAGCGCCGCTCTGCCCTAAGCCAGAAACCTGCTTGCCCTCTGGCACCCCTGCCTTTTCCTGGCCTGTCTTTCAAGCCTGCCTCTTCAGCCTTAAGGACTAGAAGCTTGTTTTTTCAGTACACAAAAATAAAGTGAAGATTCTGTGTCCAAGATCATGGAGATGTGCTGCTCGTAAAGCCCTTTCTGCTCCTGTTGGAGTTCCTTGGGGACAGAATGGGCAGACTGGAATTCGTGGGGCAATTTCCCCCAACTGCCCCAGTCCCTGCGAACCAGTGGCAAGTTTAATTCGTTCCTTTTGCATTCTCTGCTAAAGGTGCCATTTCAGCAATAGGGAAAATTAGAAGCCTAGAACCAGAGCGAGTCAGAAGGGGCCTCCCAAGGCATCTAGTCTGACCCCTGGCTCCATTTGGCTTTGCTCATGACATGCCCACCATGTGCATGTCCAGCCTGTCCTTGAACATCCTCACCGATGGGGCCTCAACCATCTCCCATGGAGGCCCATTCCATACCCTGGGGGTCCTGTCAGGAAGGATTCCTGGCATCCAAATTAAATTGGACAGAGTTGCAGTAGAAGCAAAATTTGCCTGGTGCCTATAAACCGTGTGATCCCAGGTGCGGAAGTGCAGGGGGTGCATCCGCCAGGTGCAGGGGGTGCGGAAGTGTGTCTGCGTGCAGCATTCACACTACTTCCTTGTCTTCCTCCTCCTCCACCCCACGGCTTCGTGGTGCGCACACAGGTCCTCCACCTCAGCGTGACCCCCTTGCCAACCCGCCACAACAGCGGCTGCTTGCTGGTAAATGTGGATCCAGGGCGGTGGAGTGGTGAAGAGCGCGGGACTGGGACTCAGGCGATCCGGGTTCTAGTCCCGCTCAGCCATGGAGCCACCTGGGTGACTTGGGGCCAGGCACAGGCGCTCAGCCATGCCTACCTCACAGGGTTGTTGTGGGGATAAGACAGGAGGAGGAGGAGGAGGAGGATGTAAGCCGCTTTGAGTTCATTATAAGAAAAAAGGCGAGAGATAAATCTAAATAAATGATAAATGTGGAAAACCAGCAAGCCCATTACAGAACCATTCACCAAAATGGATGTGTAGTAAATCAAACACAGCAAGGTTCACACATTCTGCAAATACCTGGGTGCAACTTTGCTGATTGCTAAGCACGGTGCACTAAATCTGTTAAAAGCACAGATTGGTTTCCCCCAACCCTACAAGATTTCTAGATCTGCTGACCAACACCACGGGGGTTCTCCTGATTTGGCCCGTGCGATTGGCAGGCTGTGCTGTTCCATTGGAGTTTTGGCAGTTTTAAGACCCTCCTGGCTGAATTGCCGCGGAAACGGGGCCTGGTCCGCGCTTCCCATCTTCAGCAGAGGTGTGCAACACAGCGGCGGCTCACCTTCAGATGAGTTGAACTACAGCTCCCAGAATTCCTGAGCAGCATTCATGTTGGCTGGGGTTCCTGGGAGTTGAAGTCCAAGAACCTGGTGGGCTCCAGCTTGGGCAAGCTCACCCTAGAGAGAGGATGCCTCTCCGACTGATGGTGCCTCTCTCACAGGGTGGAGTAGTGATCATTCTGAAGCTCAGGTGTGCCTTATGGCAGTCACCATCGCAGCTTATTTATTTTATTTATTTATTAAAACATTTTAATGCCGCCCCATTCGCCGAGGCCTCGGGGCGGCTTACAACAAGCTTGGAGATTCCCAGGAGACTCCAAAAATTCAGCCTGCCATCGATCCAAGCCAACTAGCTGGTTCTGGCAGACTTCATGTCCACTGGGAGCAGGACTTTGGCAAAGCTAATGGGTCTGTGCTGAAACACGGAACAACAGCGGCTTGGGTTTGCTGGGAAAATGCCTTTCCCTGCAGCCACTGAGAAATTCAGCCCAGCTCACAAGGAAAACGGATGTTGGAGCAGGTGGCAGATGCGCCTGAGAAAGTGCGGGTGCCGCACCCCAGGTACGCACCAGTGGTGACTGCGGGGAAGGCCATTCGGTTCCCTACCAAATATTCTTGCAACCCACGCAGCTGGCAGGAATTTGGGCCCAATACAATGCAGGAGCACGGCTCAGAGGCCACGCACGGTCTGCAGTATTTCGAGAGCGTGCGGTGTTGCGATCATGTGTTTTGTCCTCACTGGCACTGCCAAGGAGGTGCCTTTCACTCAAAAGTTTGTTTCCCGGTTGAGCAAGTGACTGCGAACAATGCAACCCTGTTCCAGCCTGAGTGGCTTTCCGGCTGCCAAATGTAATAAAAGAGCAGAAGATGCAGGGAGAGAGCTAACGTGCAAGAGAGGACTCCATCCCCTGATGCTTCATGCTGTGGTGCCGTTTCCCTTTAACACAATGAGACCACCTGGGAGAATTCACTCCTGGTTCCATCCCCCACAGCCCCACAACGTGCATGTGTGTGTGCGCGAGCGAGCGAGCGTGCTACCTGCGGTTCTGCAGTCTCCTCGGGGCTTGACTCTAGGGGCCATCATGAATGTCACTGCTTGCCTCGATTTTGCTGACTCTGTTGGGAGCGAGAAGACAGCTGTGGCATCAAAGTCGGGGAGAAGAATGTTCTTATCTAGAGATGGCTCCTGAATGGCAGGAGATTCTCCTGGATTCTGGCCCAGTGTTGCAGCAGAAGCCGGGGCCTCGGTTGACCTTGTGTCACTTTTCAAAGGCAGCAAGGCTGAGCGAGGTGGCCGCCTGGAGCAGGAGATGCCGGGGTGCTGGCGACGGTCCTCTTCCTTTCCATGCTCCCGCAGCGGTGATGCTTGCTTGACGTTAGAGCTGGGCTGCCTGAACAGCTGACCTTGGAAAAGAGGACTGCCCTCTGTAGCACTGGACACATGGACACACTGTTTACCTAGTCCAACTTT